GCTTCTGAAACCTTCTCAAAGCGCCTCCTTGCTTCTCGTTACACATTCACTTTTTGCATGGCACTTGCTTTTTATCACAGCAAGCACCAAAATCCAGCTTTGCACAGAAATGATATCATTGAAAAGAATGTAGAATAATCTAATGTTGGCAGATTTTCCTATGTAAATTACACCTCAATAAAGCTTACTTTTAACATAAAAGGACAAACAAAACCAAATGTTGACAGAATGGAGAGCACTGGAAATTCTTATTCATTTCTGAAAAGGGTATAAAAAAGTTCAACAGGTTGGAAAAATATTTGACAGCATCAACTGAGGGTCATACATACACAATTATATGCTGTGGCCCAGAAATCGTACTTTTAGCTGTGCCACACCTTTGACCTGTGCTCTCCAATATGATAGGTACAGGCCACATGTAGCTACTGAACACTTGAAAGTTGCTAGGGCCACAGGTTGTAATGATACTGCTTTGATGTAGTAAGTCTCCTAAAGCACTAAAATAGATTAAACTAGAAAATTCAAAATTCCTTGTGACAGGTTTGAAAACTAATAAAGGGAAACGTCACTAAAATGAAGTCAGGAGACCAGAAGTGGGAGCTCTCACGGGGTACCACTCAAGTTCAAAGACAGGAAGTATCGTCAATTACAGACCCAGACAGAAGAAGCATCAATAGGAAAGAATCATCGATTAAGGCCCCAACAGAAAAACATGTACGCTGCATCTCCTGCAGGAAACCAGCAACTTGGCAATGAGAAACCATCATCACCCTGAACTTTCACTTTTCTTCAAAGGGCTTGGTTTCAAAACAACCTCCCTCAGCTTCCTCCTCTTTCTGTTAAGTAATATTCCTTCCTGTCTTTTGTTCGTAGGACTTGCCTATGGCTTTTGCTATAGCTTGCTTGTCCTGAATTGCAATTCTTCCACTATTCCTGAATAAAACTTTTTGCTGGAAAAAAACAAAAAAAATCCCAACTTTTATATATTTATAAAGTTTTTACATTTATTTTGCTTCTTTGTTTTTGGCCGCGTTGGGTCTCCGTTGCTCGGCCACGGCTTTCTCTAGTTGCAGTGATTGGGGCCTACTCTTCATCGTGGTGGCTTCTTTTGTTGAGGAGCATGGGATCTCAGCGCGCAGGCACCAGTAGTTGTGGCATGAGGGCTCAGTAGCTGTGGCTCACGGGCTCTAGAGCGTAGGCTCAGTGGCTGGGGTGCACGGGCTTAGTTGCACCACAACACGTGGGATCATCCCAGACCAGGGCTTGACCCCGTGTCCCCTGCCTTGGCAGGCAGATTCTTAACCAATGCGCAACCAGGGAAGCCCCCAAAAGTACTATTTTTAAAGTCAACACTGGCATTATTCTGCTGGAATGGGGTGCCCTAGAAAAATGTGTATGTCCACCAAAAGTCACAAAGAAATGTTCGTACCTTTTCAGAATATCCTCAAGTGGAAACAACTGAAATGTCCAACAGTAGAAGAGTATGTAGAGTTAAATTCTTACAAGGAATACACACAGAGACAAAGAAGTACGTGAAAAATAGGGTTAAATTTCATAGACATAATGTTGAGTGAAAGAAGTCAGACCCATGCCCCTCCAGGTCCCCAGCCCCAGTGCATGGCCTGTGATCCAATTTATGTGAAAGTAACAGGCAGAGAGGTTGGGAGGGGTATGTGTGTGATTCCTCTGAGCTCTTGCATGGGAAGAGTCATGAGGAGCCTTTTGTGGTCTGGTAATTTTCCACACCTTAGTTATTCAGGTTGCTCCATCAGTTATTCACGTTGGTGTACACTGGTAATGGTGTGGGAACTGTACACTCTTTGTACTTTATGCATATTATGCCGCATTTTTTAAAAGTTTAATGCCACTTGGTTATTGTTAAAGTGATGTTGACACTTTTTCTTCAGCTTTATCCTGGGCTAGGAGAAAAATTATGTTCAAAGTACTTACTGGGATATTTTTGTTGTCCTCAGATTTTTGGCTTCCCTTCAGGATCAGATGTCTGACTGCTTACTTATGTGTTGCAAGCATGTACCAGTGACCTCTCTTTTTGGTTGTTGTTGTTTGAAGAAATCAAAGGAAGAAAATGGAATTTACCTGGAAGTTGTAGATTTCCTCCCTCAGTTATGACTGGGTGTTTGTGGCAAGCTAGCATTCACCCTGAAAACGACTAAGTCAAGTGTGGATTAAAGGAATTCTGTTTGAAGCCTTTGGAGAAATAGCTAGGACCCACAGGATCAGCTCCAGAGAGAGAGAAGCTCACTGGAATGAACCTAATTCTCTACCTTTTCCCTTAGGCCCGAAGGGCACTTGCGCGAACCCCCGGCTCCCGCGGCTTCTGGGAGCTGAGGAGTCAGCGGGGGCGACCCCTGCACTCGGGGGCATAGCTGTGGATCCGAAGACTCTGCGGTTGATGCGGGAGCCCAAAGGCCGACTGTGGGAGGCTCGGGGGGTCCTCCCTTCGGGGCAGGCTCGGAACCCTAAAACCACGCCCTCTTGGAAGCCGCAGACTCCTTGCCTGAGAGATCTTTGGGCTTCAAGATTCATTCTTCAGTGTGAAAAGTTGGCAACTAGGATAGTGGTGGCAGGACCTACGGATTTCAGGGGTGTGTCACTGAGCCGTAGCACCTGCCGTGTTTCCGTAGCGTAGCGGTTATGACATTCGCCTCCAACGTGAAAGGTCCCCAGTTCAAAACCGGGCGGAAACAAACATTCTTCCTTTCCGAAACGTTTACCTACCTTCCCTTTCAAAAAAGCAAAACGGCCGAAAGGCAGAGGCTGAGGCAGCGGGCGCAGCTGCATTTTCCATCCCCAAGGTACAGG